TTGCTGGTTGTATTAAACGGGACAACAAAGGGTGCTATGCCTACATTATGATGAATATTTAGTCCTATAGGTCTTGCTGTATTCAATGTCTCAATCCAATGTGCCTCCCTAGATTGACGGAATTTGGTAGTTTCATCTTCGGGCAAGTCAATTTCTATACGCTCAATTGGGATTAGGGTGAGATAGTCTATTGAATGGTCGTCGAGGTTGAAATGATTAGAAACAGGCTTGTCTTTCTTTAATTTGATGTCTGACCTATGAGCATTAAAGCGAGTTCGTAAATTATTCTTAGTTTCTCCTACATATTGTTTGGGGCATTTCTTGCATGAAATTAAATATATTACATTCGAATGTTCACATGTTAGATGTTCCTGGATCGGTTACCTTTTATTCGTAGAGTTGCTTACAAAATAATGAGTTTCTGATATAAAGGGACATGTTTTGCATCTACTGGACAAACATAAGAACAGAAGAAAACCCAATATCAAGACCCTTAATCCTAATTTCTAAATAAAGTGTCTGCTCCACCCTAGGCCTGTACATTTTGGAGAATCAAACCCTCCCTTCCCTTAAAAAACTTATTGATAAATACAAATATTGTAAAGTCAGAGACGATATAGATTTAGAAAGAATTGACACGAATGTAAAACTTTAATATTTGCTGGTATTACCGCGGCGGCTAAAGTAGCTGGTGCTACAGCTGGTGGAGTAAGTGTTGCCAACGAAAAGAAAGCTGCTATTGCAGAAGCTGCTGCTACAAAAGCAGCCGAAGAACATAGACACAATTTAGCATTGGAAAAGTTGGCAGCAGAGGTTAAAAAACCTAAAACGGAAAAGAAAGGTTCAGGAGTGGGAGATATGATAGGCACAATGAAAGAATTTGGAAAAAGATTTAGTGAAGAAACCAAAAAAACTGTTAAACAAGTATTAAATAAATTAGTAGATAGTATTGACACGGGAGAAATCAAAGTCAAACATAAGGGTAATGGAATATTTTTAAAAAATATACACACTGGAGAAGGAATATATCTTTCAAAGTATAAAGGACAAGGTGTGATTTTTTGGACAAATTAAAATAATANAAAATGGGTAAAAAATTTAATCATTCAGAAATATTTCCTAATAACCCTATGCTCATGTGTATATGCGGTAG